AATCAGAAAGTGCAAAAGCAGAAGGGCTACAATGACTGTGCACTCTTTGCTATAGCCTTTGCCACCACTCTATGCCATGGTGGTGACTCCACCACCAAGAGATATGACCAGAGAGCCATGCGCCCGCACCTTGTTGATTGCCTGGAGTCTTCAAGGATGACCGAGTTCCCACCAACTGATGATACAGTTGAGCTTGTTCATCCTGTGGTAGGCAAAAATGTACCTATTTACTGCACATGCCAATTGCCTAACAACAACGCTGCTTATGTCAAGTGTTGTGGATGCTGTGAGTGGTACCATCCAGATTTTGCTTTGTCTAGTCCTTGAATGCTGTTGTGTGCGGTCATTGTGTGTGCTTTGTCGTCCTTCAATGGCAGAAAAAAATTGGGCTATCACATTTAATAGCCACACCCTCTTCCCGGTTGACAACATATAATAAACTTCCTTCTTACTCCTGAGGAATTCTATTAGACTGCATTCACCCGGGAGACTTCCTTAAGATATGAATTTATAAACCCCTGAGGAACTTATTGAACAGTACTTTTTTTCCTAATAAAATTCCATGAATTCTTGTTTACCCTGAATAACTCCAATGTTTAAGACTATTCCCCAAGGATTTCCAAAACTATTACAACATACCCCCTAGAGAATTCCATTGATCTTTGCTCACTTCCTTAACCAAAGGGGAGTGCTGATATCAATTATGCAACAGTCCATTTCAAACTGGGATTGTACATTGCAATACAGAATTTGCACATTCTCTTGGTAGTCACTTAGTATGGTGAAATGGCATAAGATTGAAATAACAGGTAATGTTGTCAAAGACGAGGAGTCCCGGCCGACACTGGCAAAAATAAATAAGAACAAGACGCTACGGAGCGTACACTTCGGCGTCGTGGCTGTGGAACTGATTAATTGTAAATGCGGAGGAATAGTAAGAAATGAAATATGGTAAGAGTAAGGTGTTAGTTTGTGAAATTATGAGATTTGTCAGGATATTCTGAAAAGAGCAACATCCAAGAGGCCTACTTGCCAAAAACTAGCATTTCGGGACAAATTGTCTCTGAGATATTAGCCCAGTTATGCTCTGGTGACTCCATACAAATCCTTCTAAATTTGACTTGGGTCTAAACGTTTAGACCTAAGTCAAATGTGAGGTTACTGGCGGTGACTAACAAGTCTAACAAAACAAAGAGTGAAAAAAGAATTCTCTATTTTTCTTAGTCACATCAGGCTTCAAAAACAGCATAGCAGTCTCATGTACTGATTAAAGATATGTAAGGCATGGGTAAGTAGTCAATTACGTTGAGCATGGAATTGGCTGTTACGAGTTCGAATGTTTTGAGGATAATTATTCACTGACTATCAGCACGCAGGAATGTCGGATTAACTCAAGGAAGTTAATTTAATACCAAAGGAACATAGCCTTTTCAGAGATTTAAAACACAGCTTCCGCCAACACAAACTTGACTTGAACTTAAGTACAACTAAACAGCCTCTACCAATAATAACAAACTCTCACTTGAACTTCAGATATCTTACGGCTTCCGCCAACTTGTAAACACAGAACTTGAAAATCGGCCTTCGTCACACTTGACTAAACACAGCAGTCCAACTCGTGGGAAAAAAACTTAGTTCGTCAAAAGACCTCGCTTGGAACTTGTATACCGTTTGACATAAGGTTCTAGAAAATACTAAACGGGCGAATAGTAGTAGCTTTTCGACATATTTTATGATTTCAGTAACTGATGCAAATCTGCTGACTAATGCTGAAATGTAAACATGCCCTAATTAATTATTCATGATTAATCCAAAAAAGTAGAGAACGTTCGAGAACGTCACGCAACGCATGAAAGCAATTTTACTACGTAACACTCAATAAAGACAAAATGTCTTTGTGCAGCGTTTTGTAACTTTAAATTCATCATAAAGTAGTTCCAAAGAAGGGCTCACTCGTGAAATGTTTTTTTTCGACACTCCCGAAGAGAAATTTCGTGTCTTTGAGCGCCACGTAATATCCTCTATTTATTCCTCGAGTAAATTAAAGGCTAAACTCGAAGTGATCTCAAGGTATCACAAAGTAGTCCGGTTTCATTTCGTGAAATAGCCGACACAAGCCGAAAAGTCGCGAACTTGCACGCCCAATCTTGTCCCGAAACTAGTGCATAATTTCATAACTATTTTTCATATCCCGAACTACCTTGGGTCGCAGTAGCGCAATTGGCTAATCCCTCAACTTAGAGTCTCCTCTGACCTTATGGGTCACACAGGTGAGTCGGTTCAAACCCCGGGGAAGCCAAAATAATAATTCTTTCTTCCTCGAAAAAGTTAAAGAATAAATCAAAGAAATCGAAGTGATCTCGAGATATCTCGGACTAATTCGGCTCTCACTTCGTCAAATAGCCGAATAAAACCGAAAACCTACAGACTTTGCTTGCCCAATCTTGTCAAAAAATTGTAACTTTGATACATTCCTAAGCGTCGCGAATCCTTTACTTCGCGCTCCGCCGAAGTAATTAGCTTAAAAATATATTATTATTATCCATTGTATGGGCCTTGTGACCTCTGAATAGGAATTCTCTTAACAATCTCTTATCCTGCAACAACAGCTTCATGTCTTTTTTATTATTGTTATCATATTTTTAAATAAAAGAAAAAACGTTGAAACTGGAGGTACCCTTCATCTATGTGACGTGAACATAGATCACAGGGCCCATTGTAAATTAATTGCAAAGCTTGATCAGCAGTTACTATGAATCGAATTTTCGACGGATTCAGTAGAACTGCAAACGACCAAGCAACGTTTTAAAACTCACCTTAATTCAACTCGAGGGAAGAGAAAATTGTGGCCTCTGCACACATACTGTATATCAAAAGAGCTCATGATTTAATTGTTCACGTACGAAGATCCATTCGGAAAAATTTTCGGCGATCGTATAACTCGGTCCCAGTCTCAGGATCGAGGAAGGGCCCTCTCGTCTATCCCTTCAAGTGAGTACCGATAACCCCAAGTTCACGTATCCCACGTCATCCCATAGATCTTTCAAAATGCGCATATATCCTTTCTTGCGTCCGTTCTGGTAACATGGCGGGTTGCTTGAGCTTTTTAAGCTTAAGGCTTTTTCCTTGCTTTCTAGTAAATCTTGATTCATCTGGTCAGTCCATTTTAGCCTTCCTGGTTTTCCAGCGAGCGACCGGCCTGCAGTCGCCGCCTCCGCCATAATGGAACAATTATTATTTTCAATCCTTGGCTTGCTTGTTTTATCCCTAACCCATGGACCTTGGGTACCAAAGAGTTCACTTAATTGACAGACTACTCTTCTGAGGACATGAGTTGTTCCCAAAAGAGTAAAATTTTGGAGCTCGTTGATTATTATCGTTGTTGTTATTATAAATTTTAAATAATAATACAATAATTTTATTCAACTTTAAAAATATGTACTTAATTTACAGAAATATTTGAAGTAAGAATTAACCACCATATAACAGTAAGAATTATATAAATCATAAAAATACAATCACTGTGTCAATAACGACAAATACATTCCTTGCGGCTCAGATGCGATCAATAACTCTTTCAGGCGGTCGAGAGTTTTAAATTAAGCCATTACAAAAGAGAATCATCCGTCTCTGATATTAAAAAGAAACAAGTTAAAAAGAATAAAATCTCGTATTCCTAAATTCCTAATTCTTTAAAAAGTTCTTAAAAATAAATAATTAATTAATTATTTCGGGCAGGCTCTAAAATTTTCGATCTGTACATCTGAGTCTATAATAATAATTGTTATTATTATTATTATGATGATGATGATGATGATGATGATGATGTTCAAGTTTCACAGTACGTGTGCGTGTTTGCTGTACTGTATAGAGATATCTACTAGGCGGAGTACTGCCAGTCCTCTAAGCTTAGCAGATTAAAAAATCGTCGCAAGATATATGCCGAGGCTAGGACAGCTGTCTTTTGCACTATTTGCAGGGTGTAGCTGCGGCACTCGGCTTTGTCGACAGGTCTTTCAGAGCCTTATCGAGGTTGCTCTTTACATATCCCAGCGATCTAACAATGATTGGAACTGAATTGTTACCTGCTTCTTCCATAACCTGGAGATCTCTATGGCCAGGTCTTTATAATGGTCAACCTTCTCCCTGTACCTACTCTCCCTCTTTTATCATCATCATCGTCATCGTCATCGTCATCGTCATCGTCGTCGTCGTCGTCATCATCGTCATCATCATCATCATCATCATCATTATTATTAATATTATTACCATTATTATTATTATTATTTTTGGACAGCCGAAACAACCGCTCTTAACCAGAAGTACCGCGATTTAATAATCATAATTATAATAATGATTATAATAGCGAGGTTCTTGGATACGCGTATTTCTAGTAAAAATAATAAATCACCACAAGCCAGAGGAAAAGCAACAAAACAAACAGGGACTGCAATTAATTATCAGGAGGGGTTGTAAAACGGGAAAGGGATGACAGCGTAGAAAGTAGGACGCCAAGAGAGGGGGGAAGTTTTGTAATTTATTCAATGGGAAGATTGGAGTGGTACAGAGTTTCTTGGTGTCGCGGACGGCTGCAATCGCCAAATGACCTACTATACTATAGTCAATTATCACCTTGCGGACACCCGAATGATACGGACAGCAGCTAAATCCCAGGCAAAAATAAATAGGCCTTTTGCATTCGTTGATCACGTGATCAACTTTCGGTAAACACGAAAACAGTTCGCTTTTGAAAAATTTGTTAGCACGAGCTGAAAGAGCTTATTAAAATTAGGTAACCTGTAAATTTTCAGCCAGTATATCTCAAGTAGCAATTGCAACGGCCGCTTTTCCTAGTGCGTTATCCACAGAGGCAAAGTGCTATTCGTGAATTTAAGGCAAGGGTGAGAGACGAAACCCTTGACAGTCCTTCCCGATGGTTACCTAGCCCACCCATGACAGTTCCCCCTGTGAAAAGGAAAAGACGAAGAGTTGAGAGTCCGCGCAATCAGGCTGTGCCCTGGTTACGGTTATAAATCACCGCCAGAGACATTATTATTATTATTATTATTATTATTATTATTATTTCTATTATTATTATCATTATTGTAAATCATCTCTTTACTTTGTTCACTAAATAAAAGACATTGCAAAGAAGTTACAAGGTGTTTGTTTACTCAACGTTGTGCTGGGCTTGTGCTCTTTGATTGTTTGCATCAGTGCGATATTTCGGAAGACTTATAGGAAAATGTTTTTCAATAAATCGCTTGACAAGACTATCATTTTTACGTTCGTTTTTAGAAAAACACTGTACAATTGTACTCGTACTTATTTGCCGACTACGATAGGGCGGGTAGGAGAGAACCCCGGGAACGAGGTTGAATATATGGGCCGCATCATATCCACTATATGACTCTCTTTAGTTAACTTATAGCGCGCTTTTAATCCAAGGTTTACTTCATCGTCTGCAGCCAAGGGGTTTACTACACCCAGTCTTTCCAGCAGTATCTTTGCAAAACATAGCCATAGAAAATTGACTTGTTTTAGCTTCTTTCCTCGGCGTAGTTCAGCAAAGATTCGATCATGGCACGATAGGAGTAAGTTATGAGTCGCTCATTCAAGGAAACGTTAACTTATGAAAACAGGGAATGTAAAAAACAGGTTCACGGGACCCACTTGTGTTTCGGCACCTAACGCAGTTCCGTTTGTTATTCGTGATCTTAGCATTCACATAAAGTTGTGTCCGCGCTAAATCTAAATATTCTTCTCCGGTTCCAGTTACGTTCAATTCAATAGGACCAGTGTCCGTGATGTTGCTGAGAGGGTGATATTCAATCCAATTCAATCCCTTTGTGAATAGAGGTTTGTGTAGCAGGAATAGTAAGAAGATCGAGCTCTGATTTAGTACACTCGCGTGACTCGTGATTAACGAAGGCCATTATTTTCTTACTGAAAAAATTCGGTCAAGTTCCCTTTTCTAGGCTTCTTCGCTTGCGGAGATGCTTTTGCTTTCTTTCCGGGAGGCGAACTGATTTTTGAGCCTTGCGCTTTCCTCTTTGTACCTTTCCGAATAGCACCTGACTGCGCTTGCTGTGACTTCCAGGACGTTATGTTGCCTATAGCTTGTTTAGCCTGTTTGCGGACTGCTGTTTTAAGATTATCTCTATCAAGATTATCTTGGGCAACATTGACACCCGTTTGTAAAGCCTTTTTTCCAATCACCTTAGCGCCTTGTTAAATCTCGATCCTAAGCCATAACCTCGCTGAAATCGAGTTCCGTGAAATGCAGGTACATTTCCACCTTTCTGTTTGGCTTGATCTACATTGTACTGTTCGTAGAAGTTATGATTTGGGGCGTGGAGTTTTTTCATTTTTAAAAGTACTGAGGTTGACTCTGACGAAAATGAAGCATTAACAACACTCTTCCAAACTCAAATGGCACAGATTCCCCTGTGTCTCGCTTTATATTGACTTCGACGGTTTCAAATTGCTTTCTGCTGACAGGTACATATTGAGGGCGCACAAACGATTTACTGACTCGCTGAGCGACCTCTCCTTCTACAGAAACAATTCGAAACAAAGGGACCAGTGCATCGCCATACATAAATTACAGCTTCAAAATATCAGGCACTTTCTTGAACCTAAGAATCAAATTTCGGGTCTTCGTATCCTTGCCATCTCACAAGATACTCTACTACTCCTACGCTTTCTCATCCGCAAAATCTCCGCGACGCGGTACAAATCATCGTTCTTAATAATTTTCTGCAGTTCGGGTTCATAAAATGTTCCATCTAAGATTTCACCTACATCATCTTTTAGTTTATAAACGGGTACTTGACGAGCCATTGGCTTGTAAACAGTAAAAAGTTCTTCCGTATAAAATTAGGTAAGTAAGATTTTTCAAACATTCTCTTCACTCCGCTAATCCTGACGCGATCTCCCACTTGAAATTTAAATGGCACAGGCTTTGAACATCATTCCCATACAAAGTATCCCACACTTAAGCTTCATTCGCTTTAGTCACCTGACTCGGTTTCATTTTAATACTTCGGTGGTAGGTACACTGATATAGGTGAGAGTGTTTTTGGCGGTGAAATATTTTTACATCTTATTCTTAAATGTTCGGTTAAAACGCTCAACCACTAGGGCTTTGAGCCTAGAGTTAACGGTAAAAAAGTCAATGTTGTTGCCACGAAGACAATTCTGGAACAAACGATTCAGAAACGCTGTTTCTTGATCCACTTGCAGTTTGGTGGGTTTGCGATCAGTAGAAAGGATGTTTTGGAAGGCTTTGACCAGTTCCTGACCTTGTTGTGTCTTCAAAGGTAACAGTCATGTCCAATACTGTCGCACTGTTACGGACCGTTAAGAGCAGTTGACGGATCGTACGCTCCGTACAAACGGTCAGCGTTGCTAACGGTCCGTATTCTGAGCACATACCGAGCGTGCATCTCATTAGGACATCAAAGCACAGTGTGTTACGGTTCGTACGGTCCGTACGAATCGTTACGGTCCCTATGCTAAGAGCAGTTGACGGATCGTACGCTCCGTACAAAACGTCAGAGTTGCTAACTGATGCTAACGGTCCGTATTCTGAGTACATACGGAACGTCCAACTCATTATGACATCAGGGCACAGTGTATTGTCGGTTCGCACGCCGTACGATCCGTACGAATCGTAACGGTCCGTATGCTTGATTAATACGGACCGTATTAGTTCCTAGTTATATGAGCTATATATTGTGGCGCGAGGCAAACCCCGCGGGTACCCCTCTAAGTAAGTCACGTGAGATGGCGTAATAACTATGTGGGAAGAAATGATTGTAAGACTAGTTGAGTAGCAGATTAAACATGTGTTGTTCTCTTAACGCCATGTTTTAACTGGGA